TACATGTAAAAGATTTTTATCTTTTAGATGTGATGATTTGCCACATTTTTAGAGGAAATTTAATGTTCTTAATAAAGAGAATTGCTATTTTTTCAATTAACATACATGCTGRATGGTATATAAAACTAGGAAACTAGCCAAAAGTCAGTTTTTTATATTATAAAACTTTTATTGCCTAGGCAACTAGGCGACTAGGCGCCCCCAATGTCACCCAGAATCACCTAGACGCCTTGAAAACTATGGCTGGGAGACCAATTTCTTGTATGATTTTGCATCTTCATCATTTTTCCACCCAATTGTCTAGTAGTGATCTAACTCTTTCCAAACTGAGGTAGGGGCTGAATGGTAAGCAGACAAGCTACAAACACCCTGCTTACACGTAGAGGACTTAGCTTGCAACTGATAAATTTTTGAATAATGCCTTTGCTCAGAATATGTTGATTTAGCCTATTCCCATATCTCGGTTGCTATATTAACCCACATAAAGTTCTTTCTCACTTCAGTTCCATAGCTACAAGGAGCCAGGATATCATCACCATACTGTAGGTCCCATCAATCATATTCAACAATCCCTGCCTTGGGTTCCTTTACTTTGCCGTTTTTGCAACCAGCCTTCCCTCTTGCTGTAACATACAATTTTATACCCTTAGACCATACCAAACAATTTAATTTATTCAACAGCGAGATTGGCATAGGAAAATTCATGTTGTCAACCCCAACACCAAATGTTCCCTGAGATGTTGTGACTCCAGAAGACACAAAATCGTCGATGCCATTAGAACAAATACCCAGATCATCAAAAAACAGTCTGATCACAAAAATAAGTCCAACACTTCACTTCCAGTCCTCACAAAAAAAAAGAGGGGGACCAAACACTGATTGCACTAGAGGGATTGCTGAAAAGTTACTGCACAGACTGGCCACACAGCCCAAAGTTCAAGTCTTACTCATAACCAGTCCCCAGGACACATACGGCAATGGAAAACAGCACACACCATGATCCTACAATCCATTATAATCACAGAAAACAAAGCACAGAACCCAAGAAACACTGCTCACAGCATCCGGCTATCACCAAATACCTTTTCTTGGCACCATGACCAAGGAAGAAACGGAAAAACATGAGACGCTGCTGGTCACACCAGTCCAATGGAGAGAATCCTTTGGAAAGATGTGGCCCATTCAACTCCTCTTAAAGCTGTCACTAATCCAGTTTGGTCCCCTCCAGCTGGTGGGTTCACCAAATTGTAGTTTGATGGTAGCAGTGATGGAAACCCAGGGCCATCAGGTATTGGAGGAGTTTTCAGGGATGAGGGTGGAAGAATTATTGCCTTGTTTTCGGGCCCCATTGGAATTGGGGATTCCCTAAGAGCTGAACTCTTGGCAGTTTTGGAAGAGGTAAAGAGAGAAAGGGATTTGAATATAAAATATCTGATGGTGGAGGGTGATTCTATATTGGTAATTGGCTGGTTACAGAATGAAGAGATGGGATTCTGGAAATTTTTAAATGAAAAAAAGAAATTTAAGCAGCTGACTCGAGGCATGGAAATTAAGATTCAATGGATTAAGAGAAGTGCAAACTCCTTTGCTGACTCACTTGCCAAACAAGGGGTGGGAAGAGATGGTCTTTTTTGGGCATTGTTGTAATATGAGTATCATTCTCAGGGAGGGTGAAGAGATTTTACCCCTCCCTCCTTTCTTTTGTACTTTATGCTATCATTAATAAAATTCTGTTATTATCCAAAAAAAATCCTTTGTTTCACAATCCAAAAAAGGAAGAAAAAGGAGAGCAACACAATCGGGAAGTCTTCTACAGCCCAAGAAATTGCTCTGATACCATATTAAAGAAAGTGCATGAGCTCCGATACCATATTATCCAGTAGAAACCAACATGAGAAGAGAGGAAAAGAGAGGAGAAGAGGAAGAGAAGAGAAGAGAGAAAAGTTTTGGGAGTCGAAAAATCTGGTCCAGTGGCACCCTCTTGGATATTTGTACCTAAGTGATAATTAAAAGGTGAGAAAATACAAAAAAAAAAAAGAAACATAGAACAACACAAACCCAGTGTGTCAAGATCCCACATTCAATAGTCAGAATTTGTTGAAGAAAGCATGGTTTTAAAACATCAAAGTAACAAGTCATTCAGTTCAGCCAATTCAGCTGTTACCAAAGGCCCCCAAAGCTAAGTGCAGTTGTCTATATATCAAACAACACCCACTGTAGCAAAATCCATCAGTTCAGAAATCAGTTATATGCAAACCAATCTAACAGCTCAACAGTGAAAAGAGTCACACACTGGCATAACAAATCAATAGTGCAACTCTGCTAAAAAGCAGGGAGTGTCATATGCACAAATAGGAGTTCTCCAGAACATGCTAACAAGATGGCAACATGTAAGTAATAAGTGGCTAAAGGTAATAGAATTATAGAAGGATTCAATAAATGGCAACAAATTTTGCAACCTCATTGCTCTGTTCATTTTCAGGAAACCAATTGCTTACCTCATAGTTCTCTGGTCGCCTTTCAACAAGTGAAGCCTTTGTAAGAATGAGTTGGCGGGATACAGCATCACCTTGCTCCCCGAGTCCACCTTTAGGCCCAATACCCAAACTCAACCCTAAAACATGTGCAGTTCCATGAGCGGAAGACCGCAACCTTGTCACAGACCATCCTCCACATGGAGTTTCTTCAGCCCCAACTGCTTCTTTGGCTGAGCAACAAAGTTAAGTATTAAATAAGATGCGATGCTATATCAATTTTTTTATCACTACAATGGTAGATCAAATTAAACATGACAATACATGCATATTGCAATACACGTGAAATACAGTTGAAATTTATTTACCTCGTTTTTTAATATAGTCTACCGCAGTGAGTGATTGAGAACTGTCCATGGATAATGACAAACCAACCGTGGATTTTGCAGTTTTGGTCTGCATTGAAAGTTCAAAAAATATAATAACTGATGCAGAGCACTACTAAAAACCAAGGAAAAGTAGAAAGAAAAGTAGCAGGTAAAGCCAAACATTCCCACTGAAAACTAGAATGCACTTCAGTTATTTATGCAAACATCTATGTGTTCTATTTACATTGAAATTATAGATAGGTAGGAACTAAGGCAGAAGATTCCAATCATACCAAACTTGATATGATGGCAGTGTTTGTGGTTCCTGATGCAGCTTGAAATGCTTTGGATTTTCTTCCATAGAGAGGGCAAAGAACAAAACCTCCGTGTTCAACACTTTTCTTCCCATAAGCATCAGACAGAATAAAAATGGCAGGGGAATCCATGTCTCTGAAATCCAGGCACCATCGAAGGTCTCCAGATTGCACTTCAAGAAGCTCAACTCCAACAGCAGTAACTTTTAGTTTCTGCACAAACAATGGTTAATAAATCCTAATACAAATGCAGTTAATTTAGCAGCAAAAGTAAAGTCAAGGGCAAAAGTCAAATGGTTTATTCAAAACTCAGGCAGTATACAGACATATCTGATGCATATTTCACCAGGTAGGTAGGTTGTTATGTTAGATGGCATTAAATTCAGCCCAGAGAAAAGTTAATTATATTTCCAGAGATGGAAGATTGTTTTGGAGCTTCATCAGTCTAACTGTCATCATCTAAGCCTTGTCCCAACTATATAGAGTTGACAACATGAATCCTGTTCCGCCATTCCATCCTGTTGAGTACCGTATCCATTGTCAAATTGTGAGCCCTTAAATCATTTCTCACTACTTCAACCCATGTCCTTGTAAACCTGCCCCTAGCTCTTCTAGCCCCTTCAACTTGTAGTAGATCACTTCTTCTTACTGGTGCTGTAGATGGTCTATTCTGCATATGCCAAAAGCATCTCCACAAGTTTAGAAAGATTTTGAGTAACTTTAAGAGGTGCAGGGCCCACGTTTTGGGTAAAAGGTAAGTTGGGAATCAAAAGGGGAGAATTGAGAGAAGAATTAGAAGGCATGGCGGCTTACAGGCTTCATCGGAAGAATGCTTCCTCTGCTGGTTCGTCAGTGGATGATGCTTCTAACAATCAATAATATGGGTGTGGCTCGGGGATATGCAAAGATAAATCAAGTTCAAAGGAATTACTTCAAGATACACAGGGTGAGGTCACTTCCATTGCTCTGTTGCTTGAACCAGTTGAAGGTACTCAAGAACTGTGCCCTATTTCTATTTGCTTGGAGCTGAGACAGGAGAATGGGGGTTTTGTTCCTAGTTACCAGGAGGAAGCCTCAGAGAGGGAGTCGGGAGTAAGGGAGGTGAGTGAGGCTATGGTGGAGAAGGTGGAAGAAGTGGTGAACAACAAAACCAAGGATGGGGAGGAGGCAGGTGACAACAAAGAAGGAAGCGGCTTAATAGAAGTTAAGAGCGAGAAGGGGATTGGTTTAGAATTCTTTAATCAAGACGTGTTGCATAGGAACAGCATCGATTATGTGGTATTTGAAATGGTTGTTGGAAGACTAGGAGTGGACTTGGGTCATAGGGGGCCTAGGGGCAAGAGACGAGTTTGGCTGGAAGTGGTGAGGTTTTGGAGGCCCCAAAAAAGCCCAGAGTTTCGAGCAAGCTCAACATGGTTCATGTTACTACGGTCTTCTCAAGGTTGAAAAATGGTCTGGTGAAAACTGGGCCAACCAATAAGATTTATAAAAAAGAGTTAAACTCAGATCTCTGAGTCTTGAGAACTCGTGCCTGGATTCTTCACTCTCATCTAAAGGGGCTGGAAAGATGACCCTTCCGGTGGATTCTCAAAGCATGGAGTTAAAAAAGTCTGACCGTTTAGAGAAAGCAACTAGGGTTGATTCTGATTCGAAAGAGGTTTCTGTCAAAGTGATGCCAAGGGAAAAGGAAACAAAAAAAAAAGCATGGACTTGAAGACTCTAGTTGACAAAGAGGTGGAAATTGGCAAGTCTTTGAGCTTGTTCTTCTTAGGAGGAGAGAACTTTGATAGAAGAGCTTTTGAAGCGTTTGGGAGAAAAGAGGAAGGAAGAAGGTTCCTGAAGTGTTAGGGGTAGAAATTTGGGATGAGGAAGGAGGCCCAGATGAGTTTGGTGAGGTGGAAGATTGACCTGCACATAGTATCTGCCCTGCTGGAGTAGTCGTTGTTGTGCAAGAGTAATGTTATCTCTTGTTTTCTTTCCCTGTTTTTTTTTTGTTGTTGGTGTTGTAGGTGGTTAGTAAAAGTCATTGGGTTTGGGGGTGTCGTCTTTTTCTTACAAGTCGCTTGGAGATGTCATCTTAACACCTGCTTTTAGTTTGTATTCAGTTTTTTTCCTTTTTTAATAAATTTTTCTTGTTACTTATCCAAAAAAAAAAAAATGCATCTTAGTCCCCTTTCCCTCATTTTATCATCTATTGGAGCTACTCCTAAGTTCCTTTGAATAAATTCATTTCTGATGATCTGATCCTATTCTTTCTAGTTTTCCCACTCAGCCATCTCAACATTTGCATTTCAACCACACTCACTTTTGGGACAAATTGTTTCATGATTGTCCAACACTCTACTCCTTACAATATTACTGGCCTTGTAACAGTTTTATAAAATTTTCCTTTTAGCCAGAGTGGTAAGTCTCTTGTCACATAAGACTCCGGATGCACCTTTCCATTCGACCCATTTTGTTGTACGGGTGTAAGTTGGGTTACCCGGTTTGAAGATTTCCAGATTTCCAACTACTTCGGGCTCAGATTTCACCCAGGCACATTGAAGATTTAACAAACTCCCAACCCAAGTTGCACTCCTATTTAAATTCTACTTCAGACCTCTAACCTTGCAGGGAAGTTTCCATCAAAGGAGGTGTGGGGCAGCCCTGTACCTCCAAAAATTCAGACTTTTTGCTGGGAAGTGGTACTCCAAAAAATTAATACCTTGGATTTATTGCAAAAGAGAGAGGCCAAATATGTGCCCCCCCCCCCGAGTGGTGAGCCTCTTTGATCCATCTTTTTGCAAGCAACCAAAGGTTCGTGGAAGGGTTATGTGGAGAGCCACAAGAGCAGCTGTGTAATGGTCAGTATAGTCGTATGGGAGGAAAGAAACAATAGGATCCTCAAAGGTGTATTTAGATCCAAGGAAGAGGCAGTGTAAGGAGTGACCATTAAGGTCATCCACTAGTTGAAATCTTATGGTCTGTTTAAGAACTTCTCAGCTGAAGACATTTAGAGAAATTGGGATGTTGTGGCAGCTAAAACTCCATCCAAAGCTGTGGTACAGAAAATTTGGTCCCCACCAACACAAGAAAGGGTAAAACTGAACTTTGATGGAAGCTCTATAGGTAATCTGGGCCCATCTGGAATAGGAGGTGGTTTTTTTTTTTTAATCAATAGCATCAATTTTATTAAATTGAAAAGAAAGTGGTAATTACAGACTGTTAAAACAGTTTAAGTTCATGAGAGATAAAAACTCTTATCTCTCCCCATGAAACCCCAAATCCCTTACAATTGTGCCCAAAACAATGAATCTCTCCCCACCCCTAGCTTAGGAATAGGAGGTGTTTTCAGAGATGATGAAGGTAAAATAATGGCTCTTTATTCAGGTCCAGTAGGAGTTGGAGACTCCTTAAGAGCAGAAATCTTGGCTGTACATCAAGGAGTAAGATTGGCCAAACAGTTGGGGCTACAGAAGATTGAGATAGAGGGGGACTGTGCATTGGTAATTGGATGGATCGTGGATGCAATCAGGGCATCTGGGAATTTGGCAACATAGACAGCTGACAAGGGAAATTTAGCATAACAAGGGAGGTGGGTGTTTGTTTTTAAGTGGGTAAGGAGATCAGCCCATGGTTTAGCGGATACCTTAGCAAAACAAGGGACCGTAAGGGAGAGTTTGTACTGGGCAGTGCTGTAATGTATGATGTCTATTGGCTCAACCTCTTCTACTAGGGGTTGACTTCTATATTTCAGAATTCTCATTAATGAAGTTACCGATTCTGATCCAAAAAGAAAAAAAAAATCCTCTTCAAACTCTCCCTTGTTATGGATTATCAAACTAGAGTAACAGAAGAGATCACACTCTTGGTCTCCAATCTTAAGTGTACCCTGATTTCTAGGACTGTTCACAAAGAGAACCAAACCAGCCCGACTCGATTTGATATGGTCGGTTTCCAAAGGCTGTTAGTCAGTTTCAGTTCATTAAAATGTACAACCCGATTAATCAGGTTGGTTACTTGGTTTCAGTTTATAAGTTTGCAAACCAAAAGTATCCCGACCCAACCAACCATATATATAGCCTAATATCTAGTGAAGTGGCATCTATCTAATATAGCCTAGTTGCTAGTCCACCAGAACCCAAAAGTTTAATTATCTCTCTTTCACGTTCCATTTCAGTAGTTTCCAATTTTTCCCTTCTTCCTAGTTCCCAAAAAAGTTAAATGCATTAAAAGTTGTCTTTTCTCCGTTTCACAACTTTTGACACTGGAGAATTCTAAGTTCCCAATTCCCACAAAAGTTAGGATGCCTTAGAAGTTGTCTTTTTCTCCCTTTGAAAACTTTTGGTCAGTGATTTGTTCGAAACTGACCAAACCAACTCTTCATGTTTCAAGTTGATTTCCCTGCCTGGTCGATCAGTTTCAATTGGCAGAAACCTCAACCCAAGTAGGTCGGTTCAGTTGAAAAAATTGTGTGCAAACAAACCAAACTGACTCATGTGCAGCCCTACTGATTTCTACTCCTAGTATCATTAAACTTACATTGCATATATTCTGTTTTAGTCTTATTTATGTAAAACCACTTGTTTCTGTGGTATTTGACCATAAATCTAATTTTGCATTTAATTCTTTGGTTTCATCATAAGTGAATATCATGCACCATGGGATCTCCTCATGAATATATTTAGTCAATTTATCCACAACTAGTGCAAATAAATAAGGGATAATTGTTGGGCCTTGGAGAAGTCCCATTGTAATTCCAAATTCCACACACACAAACATGTATATGTACAAACTATTAGATAAAATTTTGACAAAACACTGGCTTGTTAACTTATGGCTATGAGTTATGATAAAATCAAGGAAAACGGAATGAAGTTTGGCCATACCATATAATCCAGGCAATCTTTTTGAAATATGAAACTGCCTTTGAAAAAAGAAGCAATACATGCTCAAATAAATCCTCTTTGCTTTCTATGATGTTCAAAAGAAAAATAAATACATTGAATCTTTAGGAAAACCATGTATGCTTGCTTTCTCAAATCACAAAAGAAAAAAAAAAAAAATCTAATCAGGTCCTGGAAAGGGGGTAAATAAATTAGCTTAGATTAAAAAAAATGGCTACCTCATGTCTATTAGTAACAAATCAAATTTAGTTTAGTTTCTCAACCGAAATAAAAGATCCAGCACAAAAGCTTTCAAATACATCACAATTTTATTGGATCAATTCTTTTAGATGAAGTAAGTTGCTAATCACAAATCAAAACTAATTTAATCTCCTACTGTCCCATAATTGGTAGAGAGTGGTCATTAACTAGTTGCAACAATTTATTAAAACCCTCTGGTTCTAAGGAATTCAGAGGGATAGACTGGCAGGGAGAGCAGAAAGGTGGATTGTATAATTCGAATGCCCTGATTTTTTTTTCTTTTGTCTCTTATTTTCCCTATTATATTATAGACAAGTATAATGAATCCTTGTCCAGGAAAAGTAATAAAAGCATTTAAATCCAGGTGCATGGCAGTGCCAATAGAAACTTCGAGAAAAGTTGCGGTGGAACAAAGTGAATTATATAAGCTGGGATGAACAGAGGAATAGGATGGCTATTGAAAGTAACTTACAAAAGGAACCCACTCTGAAGTCTTTCGGCGAAGATGAAGCACCGGGAATTCTGCAACAGCACCAATTTTGCTCCATCTAATTCTGTACAATTCAGTCAATATACTTGCTCTAAACTTTGAAGAGAACTTAATAGCCTTGAATTTTCCACGACCATCAGTGCGGACACTGATTGTGAACTCTTGCGCATTTTCATCCCGTCCTAAGATTGGAGCTGCACCTTCATAGTCGCTGGCGACATCATATGAATTGGTAACGGAGAGCGTTGATGGATCCAAGGTGATTATTGCAATATTAGAGATACACAAAATTCGTTTATACCGCCCACGCCATGAGTGTTTCACCACCATATACCTCGCCAAGTACTCAAGTTCTTCGGCTGCAGGGGGAGCCGAAGAAGAGTCACTTGAAGAGGGCTGGTGGTCAGAAGCAGATGCAGCATGCCGGCTTACAAAATCCATCTGCGAAAGGAATTCAAGGGAATGAGTCCGACGAGCATTAGGACGGAAAAGGAACCACAATCCCAAGCCCGTCTGAGCCGCTGCCGGGCTTTGATGAGACTGATTCGCCCCCAGTGCTTCCCAACTAGGTGAATTCCTCCAACTTTGATCACTTACTGATACTCCGGATATTGAAACCTCTCTAAACAACTCAAATCTTTCATCGATGAGCCGATAAACCCTAGAAACTTCAGAAAGTACCTTGAATTCTTCGGAGCGCTGAAAGTAGAGAACGAGATGCCTCTAAATTTTACTTACCAGGACAAATTTCTCTGCAAATTCTCCCAAAATTCAATATGAAAAAACAAACGGATCCACAAAGTTTAAATCGACAAGCACAAGAATGATGAATTTCCTCCAAAACTTGACCCCTATATTATAACAAAGGCGAAATCTTTAGGGTTTTTTACAAGATTTCATTACAAATAAGCAACAAATTGCTATGAATTTCTCCTCCTAACCTAAGCCAAATCAAACACATAGGATCATCATTTAATGTTTCTCCAATTCCTTTTTTCTTCTAAATCTTCTTCCAACCGATAGCTTTCAATCACTGCCGACAGACTCGAATTCGATGAAATTCCGGATGGATTCCACACTAAAAGGAAACAGGCATAAAAGCAGTACAAAATGAAGCCTAGAATGTGAAAGAATTGAGGTGAGAGAGAAGGAAGAGAAACCGTGGCCAGCTAAGAGAGGGCCGGTCACCTTCGTTAAGACCACTCTGTCAACAGACTTTCGGGCTCGGCCATTAGGAATATAGAAGATTTCACTAATATACGCCTGTTGGTCGATGAACCCGTCAGATCACGGAATCTTCGTTCGTGTGAGAGATGTCTGTATTAATAAGCTCATTAATGGCTTAACAAACAAACATGAAACATGGGCCATGGCTAAGTGACCAGACCAATGTCCACATCGTCACATAGCCGACTCGAATTAAGGTGAATCAGGTGACCATGGACCGAGTTCGGATCAGCTATTAACAACGTCCCAGCCGGTCATTGTAGCCATACATCGGGAACATATCCCATAATAACAACGGAGATATTCCTGATATGCGGCTACAATGGCTATTGGGACAGTATTGGGAGCGTTGTATTAGTAGCAGATCTTTATCCCCATGGACCGGATTGGGCGGCTGGCCAGGGACGGGTTTTAACTATGGCACATGGACCATGGGGGCAATACCAGCCTATCCGACTATCCGAGTGCTGGCTGAAGAGTTCGCTTTTCGTGGTTCCGAGTGTGGCCCAGCCCACACAAATTTTCGGGTCATGACCATGTTTTTTATGTTAAGGTCAGGCCCCATTTGGGCTCGCATCAAGCCTATAAATTTCCGGGCCCGGTTTCAACCCAACAATTAAGGCCCGACTCATCCTACCGTATTTATATGGCATTTGTAATATTTTGTACTTATACACGTTATGGCATATGTTTTGTACATATTTTATATGCATTATAATATAAAACATTATACATATTAGATATAATATATTTAAAGGCATGGGCCTAATGCCCAATCAGGCAATCTGTACTGTTTTAATGTCATATTCATTGTTATATTATTGGTGTTTAAATTATTTCTTACTATTTTAATCCATTATCCTTTTGGTATATTGCTTGCCCTTGTAATTCTTCCAACTTGTAAAAATCATTTCTTGTTATGTACATGATGGATTAAAAAATATATATAAAAAATACACAAAACTCGTAAAAATATTGGCATATCTCTAATGTCATAATCATCATATAAAACTAATCAGCGTGATAAATAATAATAATTTTTCATTAATGATGGAAGTGGAATACAAATTCTAAAACTAACTCAAAAAATACAACTTTTTTTTCATTCGAGCGATAAGCAGTTCAACCATCTAGATATAAAAATGATATCAAAATTAAATAGTACAAACTTAAAAATATATAAAAATAGACAAATAATGAAAATATATATATTTTATAGAAACAAATTTGTGCATATGCCTAATATCATACTTTCACCGTATTAAACAAAAACAAGTGCCATAAATATGAATTATTTGTATTTAACAATGGGAATGAAATAGAAATTTTAACTCATCACCGAAATGAAACCATTTTTCTATACGGGTTAAAAGGGTCCAATCCATTATGTCATAATTAAATAATAAAGTTTTAAAACTATATATGAGTATAAAATATTTACTGATATAGAAAAATTGCAAAAAATATATGGACATATCTAAAATGCATATATGTTCATATAAAACAAAACAAAATGTGACAAACATAGACAAATACAAATTATATAAATTTTAATTATTTTTTAAAATATATACAAATAAAAATATATATTAAATAAATATAAGTATAATATATAATTGTCCATATCAGCATTGGACGGCGTTCAATAATTCAGATTAGCGTTTCAACATTTGACGTACATCCAATTCGCCCTTCTATTTAATCAAATTACTCTATCATGGATTCACTTTCCAATGCATTCGAGATGATATCGGGATGATAGGTGGGGTTTGCGTGACTGGTTCATCACAATCCTGCGGAATGATACACATAGATGACAAAGGACAGTGAACACAAAATCATATTTGCGGTGTAAAATTTGCTTGTGCATCAAGTTCCCTTTCTACTTAACCTAATTCCTCTGACATGGATAAACTCCAACACTTCTAATGGGATATTAGGATGGTGATCAGGGTGAACTTGACCCAACCCTCACAATCCCATTGCAGGATACATAAGGATGGTGGTGGGTGACGCCTAGAAAATCATATCAATGGTGGAAAAGTTTATGCAAATTTAGTTATGTTTCCATTTAATTTGATTCCTCTGGCTTGGATTCACCTCCAATGCTTAAGTGAGGATATCAAGATGACGAAGGGGGCTATTTGATCCGCTCGTCACAGTGTCATGGGGGATTCGAAGGGATGGCGGTGGGTAGCCTTACAAAATTACATCAGTAGTGTAAGATTGATGTACATCTAATTCCCCTTTACACTTTATTTGAATCCTCATAAGTGGATTCAACTCCAACGTCTTAAAGAGCATATCGGGATGGTGATGGAGGTTTAATTGACCCATTTGTCACAATCCCATGGCCAGGGTTGTCAATGGTTCAGGTTCGACCCGATGGACCCATATTGATTAAATTAGTTATAGTTCCAGTATTTTGTCCCAATGGGTCAGCTTCAGAACCTAACTTATTGTCCTAATCATTATCGGGTTGGTAATAGGCCCACCCTTGTCCCAAACCGGTTAGGACCCGACCTGAGGCACATAGTAATTATATATTAAGTATATATAATATTTATAATAAATTAATAATTAATAGATTACATATGATGTACTATTTAAGTAAGATATGTCCACATTGGTCATTTCGGCAGTGTTTCATTCAAAACCCTACCAAAATGACCAATGAGCATTTATTCTTCTCCATTGCAATAACAAAAGAAGGAAGGGGTTGTTGACTGCAACTTCTGAGACTTGAACCGAGCAATGAGCAGTGAACTTGATCACCATAAACTGAATATACCGTTCATCCATCCGTCTGACCTCTCTTGATGTCCATTCGTCTATCTTCTCTTGCCATCGCTTTCCTCTCTCCATTGGTCATGCTAGTTGATATCTTCATGTCTTCTTATTTTTCAAGGGTTTCGTCCATCGTCCATCAATTTCTCGCGCGTTCGTTCGTTTGTTTATTGTTGTCCATCCATATGTCTTCTCTTACAGTTATTTTCTCCTTACATGTATGTCCTCCTCTCGTCGTCCATCTACAAGACTACACAGGTGTTATCTTCATTTTTGTCCAATTATAATCGGGTCCATTGGGTTAGATTCAATTAAGAACCGATCGGTTTAGTTATAGGGGTCTGGGTGGGTACCGGGTCCATGGTTTTTCTTGTCGGTTCAGAATCGGTTCTACCAAGTTTCGACCCATTGATAGCCATACCTATGGCATGATACATAGGGGCGACGACAGACAACACTTACAAGTTATAAAATCAGATCAATTGTGCAAAAGTTTATGTACATCTAGTTCCCTTTCCACTTAACCTGATCATCTAGCGTGGATTCACCTCCAATGTTTACAAGAGAATATTGGGATAATGAGGGGGATTTAGTTTACCCGTTTGTTATAATCTCATGGGGGAAACATAGGGTTGTCGACGGATGATGCTCACATAAATCATATAAGTGGTGTAAAAATTTACGTTCATCTAGTTTACTGATGAGGGCGGATTTGGCCCTCCAGTCACATCGTGACACATGACATCTTGAAACAGCTGGATGACACATGGGCACCGCCTAAGTGATGATTTGGAGTCCTAGATCGTGGTTCATCTTCACTTCAACCTAGCGCCTTCAACCACAACTTAGGTCGGCTAGGAGCACCTCGTCTAAGGCCAACCTTTAGCACCTCGTCACTGGCCGATGCGACTTCGACATGAGGAGGACCTCCCTCGAGGGCTTGCCGACTTGGCTGAGGTCCAGGAGGTGATTTGCGAGTTGCGCTCGACGACAAATTCGATATGCATATCCTGTCACTCCCAAGTTCCTCGGAAGTTGGCCCACATACCAAGTATTCTGGAGGATGATCAACATGCGTGGCGGTTACCTTCGGGGATCTTGGACCGGTTAGGCACGACCTCCTGGAAACCTCAGATGCGGTGCGTGAGGCCCACGCCAAACAATGCCTATATAAAGGCACCAACCCCAATGACACAGGAGGGACACATGATTAAGTACATTCTAGCTCTCATACTTTATAATTTTTAGCTCACAATCTACTACAAGAGTACTAACTTAAGCATCAAAGCGACCTTGCCGGGTTAGCCACCTCGAGTCTTCTGACACTGTATCCTTGTAGGTCTCTTCGAAGAGCTACCTAACTCGACACCCGAGCAGCTCCTAATTCAATCCAGTCAGTTCGACATTCAAGCCTTTATCCAGCTCAACCTCTGAGTCATTAGATATCAGGAAGTAGTCAGAACAACAGGGTGCTACAAAGAAACCCTTCATCATTTACTTTTCCACTTAATTTGATATTTTGATTCATTTGGCATGAACTCACCTTCAATGATTCCAATATGATATCAGGATGGTAAGGGGGTTTGTTTGGCCCGTTCGTTACAATTCCATGGTGAGATACGTAGGGACAGCGGTGTACGATGCTCACAAAATACGATAAGCGGTGTAAAAGTTTACGTATATCCAGTTTCATTTACAATCAATCTAATTCATTTGGCATAAATTCACCTCTAATGCTTCCAAGAGTATATAGGGATCACATTTGGGCTTTACATGGCCTATTCATTACAACTACGCAATGGGATAGGCATGGACGGTGGCGGACGACACTCACAAAATTAGATTAGTGGTTCGGCGTACATCAAAGTCTCTTTTCCACTTAACCTGAGTCCTTTGACACGGATTCACCTCCAATGCTTCTAATAAGATATTGGGATGGTAAGTAGGGATGCAAATGAATCGGATTAGATTCGAATTAGGGTGTATTCGAATCCAATCTTGACACTGTTCATGTAGGAATCGATATGATCGGATCTAATAGGACTCGATTTGAATTTGAATCCTATCGGTAAGTCGGAACTTTGGATCTAATATGATCAGACTTGTTTTCTTTAAAAATAATAAATTATTAAAAGAAAAAATAAATATACTAATTTAAATAAAGTAAAAACAAAAAATAGAAGTATTTTTTTTAATTATTTCATCATAAATGTACATGTTTTTTATAAAAATAAATAAATAATATAACAAATTTATAAAAAATATAATATGAAAAATATATAACATATATATGTATAATATATATCGGATGAGATCTTCTCAGATTTTGGATAGGGGGTGATTAGAATCCGATTCGATTTCTGATTGGGTCATATTATTTGATCCAAAGATTCGATTAGGGGTGATACGAATTCAATCAAATAGGATCGAATCTTGGATTGGATCAAACCGTGACCTGATCCATTTGCACCCCTAATTGTAAGTAGGGTTTATGTGACTAATTTGTGAGAACCCTGCGGTAGGATACATGTATACAACAATGAATGACGCTCGCAAAATAAGATCAGTGTGCAACATTTGATGTATATCTAGTTCCCTTTTCCACATAATCTGATTCTTCTAGCATGGATTTACCTCCAATGCTTCCAATAGAATATCGGGATGGTAAATTGGGTTTATGTGACAAGTTCATCACAACCCTATGATGGGATACACGTAGACAACGACGAACGGTGTCCACAAAATTAGATTAACGGTGCAAAAATTGACCTACATCTAGTTCCCTTCCCACTTAATTTGATTCCTCTGGTTTGAATTCACTTCTAATATGATGAGTGGGGTTTTGGTTCATCACAATCCCGCTACAAGATATGTTCAAACAATGGTAGACGACGATAAAAAAATCATAATAATGGTGAAAAATTTGATGTATACACCACTTAACTTGATTCCTCTGACATTGATTAAACTCCAACGGTTCAAAGAGGATATCAGGATGGTGATGGGGGTTTAATTGACCTGTCGTTCATCACAACCCCATGATGGGATACGTAGGGATGATGGCATAAGATGCTTACAATTTCAGATCAGCGGTGCAAAAGTTTACGTACATCTAATTCCCTTTCCACTTAATTTGATTCATCTACCATGGATTCACATCCAAAGCTTTTGAGAGGTTGTCGGGATGATGAGGGGGTTTACTTGACCGTTTGTTACAATCTCATGGCGGGATATGCTGGTATGGCAGTGGATGGTGCTTACTAAATCATATAAGTGGTGTAAAAACTTATGTACATCCACTTCCCTTTTCTATTTAATCCGATTCCTCTAGCATAAATTCATCTCCAGCGCTTGCAAGAGGATATCGGGATGGGGGGGTTTGCTTAACACGTTCGTCGCAATCCCATGGCGGGATACGTACGAACAACGTCATACGACACTCACAAAATTTGATCAATAGTGTGAAAATTAATGCGACCAATTCGTTAAATTAACAACGACATACGATGCTCTGGTAGGGATTTACCTTCAATTCTTCTAAGAAGATATCAAAATGGTAAGTGGTGTTTATGTGACCAATTCGTCACAACCCCGTGGCGGGGTACATGCAAATGGTGGCGGATAGTGGTCACAATATCAATTTAGTGGTGCAAAATTTGACATACATCTAGAGCCTTGTCCACTTAGGGCCTCTTCGTTTCCTCTTAACTCTTAAGAAGAATCTTTTAACTTTAAGAGAAAAATGACTGTTCGTTTCTTTTGATCTCTTATCTCTTAAAGTGCAATCATACAAATTTTTATTTTCCAATGATACCCCCAAAAAGACAAACAAAAACTCTAATATATAGAGTCAAAATAGATATATGATAATTTTTAGAATTCATAATTCGGAGTTCAGAATAACATTCTCTACATTCAGAATTCAGAGGAAATAAAAGTTCACCATTACCAATATACCTTTTAATGTAATTATTGCACTTTTAGATGTCAGACTTCAAAACAAATGAACAAGCCCTTAATCTGATTTTTCTAGCATAGACTCAGCTCCAATGCTTCAGAAAGTATATCAGGATGGAAAATTTATGTACATCACCCCGTGGTGGGATACATGCAAATGACAACAGACGATGTTTACAAAATTAGATCAACGGTGCAAAAATTTATGCACATCTAATTTCCTTCACTTAATCTGATTCATTTAGCATAAATTCACTTCCAAGAGAGTATATCGGGATGAAGAAGGGGGTTTAATTGACCCATCGTCACAATCTCAAAGGGGATACGTAAGGACGATGAGGGACAATATTCACAAAATCAGATCAGTGGCGTAAAAATTTACGCACATCCTTTTACTTAATATATGATTCCTTTGACACGGATTCACCTTTAACGCTTCTAAAAGATATAGTGACGATGAAAGGGCTTTTCTTGACCCGCTCGTTCCAATCCCATGTTGGAGTACACATACACGGCAGCGTACATTTGGAGGGTGCGCAGGATGGATTGAGATCAACATTTACGAGGACGCCTGGATCCCAAGTCTCATTAGTTATAAGATTCAATCTCCAAGGCTCATAGAGACCACTATGTTCGAGATGGCAGATTTAATTAATTCAAGGGCTCGGTCTTGGAAAGTTAGTTTGCTCAGGGCTTTATTTTTAGAGACTGAAGTGAAGGCTATATTAGAAAATTCCTTGGAGCTAATACTCTAATAGTAGAAGTGAAGGATGGTAATTTCGCTATAAAATCAACTTATCACTTGGTAGCTTCTGAAGTTGTATTAGATAGTTCATACTTCATAGTTCTGCTTCAATTTCTCCAACGGTTTGGGTGTCGTCAGAGTTGTGGAATAAAGTGTGGTCTTTGAATGCCACCCTGAGGGCTACTTTTTTTATTTGGCGATGCTTACATAACTCAATCCCGCTTTGGAACATTTGAAGGAGAGACATGTAATAGACTCAGATTGTTGCCAAAGGTGCGGAAATCATCCAGAGTCTGTAAGACTTAACAATTCTCCCAATCTATCAAAAAAACAAAAAAAAAAGAGAAGATTCTCAAGTAGGGAGATTACCTACACAATTTGACATATTTTTAGGACCATTGGATTGGGTTAATGTTCAATCCAACAATCCATATCAGCGCTATATATACCCCACATGGAATTGGAGTTTTGCTCGGTACTTACCAAGTTTTATCGATAGCGCTCAGGAAAGCAAAACAATGTCTATAGATACAGGCCCATGTAATCATGCAAGGCTCAATACATCGAAATCAATCATTTGTCAATACTCAGCATTCTGGAAAGCAAGCGATGCTTGAAGGAAGATGATTTCTAATATATAAACTGCTACTTGCCAGAAATTGCCACGTTACTCTGAGATAAGAAAAATCTACGGTTAAAACAACAGAAGCAAGTACCTCAACCCAGAGCCCAGAGTCCAGAGATTGTCATGGCTTTTACTCATACGGTTATAACCCTGCAATGATGTCAATTTTCAGAAGGCAATGATTTTTTGGGTGTAAATGTATCAATAAAAGAACATCTATCATTTACAAATTTTGGGAGCAATGGTTTTGAAAGCAAGGTCTATTTCTTCTTCTGTCATTTCTATTGTTTCATCACTGTCATATGTTTCATTCTTTGGCATTTCAGCCTTCCTATCAAAATCCTTGCCATGTTCTTCATTGGTCTTTGATTTTTTCTTCTTTACTTCAGAACAATCCTCCAAACTGTCATACTCTATCCTGTACATGCGTTTGCAGGTCAGAGCCTGTTGATAAAGATCTTCCTTTGAGGCTGAGCTTGCACAGCTTCTGTCGAGCTTTGCTAACTCTTCGACCACGTGAGGGACAAAATTCCATTGCTCAGTGACTTGCCGAATATCCTGCAAGCAACATTCATTGAGTACTAACTGAAAATGCAAAGACCATGCTTTGTAATATTCCTCAACAGTTTATTTTCCATCAGAATATAGGTTTCTAAGCTTTTACTGCAGCAATTATTTGTGACATTTTGTTACTGTAGGAAACAAGAAACTTGGAGAATTGCATGCATGAAGTTGGATCGGAACCTAACATTTGAGGGGTCAGAGTTGTTTAAAGTATCCATCTGGTTTGGTTGATGTAGGACAGAAAGAGAGGTTGCATAAATCAGAACGGAAAGCCAATGGTCTAAATGTGGCTGAAGGGTAAATTCTAAGGAAAGATCAACAAAGAACTAAATTGACTGGAGAAAAGAAAAAATGCTGACAATGAAGTAGAAATATGGTTTATAGCTGAAAGAAAGTGGTATTCACAAGATGTTATGGGCCCGGGAATAGGATCTCATCACGGGTCGGTCCACGGGGAAAACCTCCTGTTTTCCCTTGCCCTTCCCTCTGCGTACAGACCCTATTGTGGTAACCTAATGGATGATTTGTCCAAGAGATCACCCGAACTCTCCTCACTCTTTCCTAGACTGAAAACTGAATGATTTTATTCCAATTCACAGCTCCTTAAATAGGAGATTACAAGAGGTAAGAGTCCTCCTTGTAGGAAGACTCCTTGATAACTAAACTGCTTACAGATAAGATAGATAAGACT